AGTGTTGATTTCAATGTTCACTTTTATATTTACACACGCTCTATCTCTGATATTGAGCACTTTATCACATAAATATAGTACATCTTAAGAGTATATTATATTATATATATATATATATATATATATATATATATATATATATATATCTTTTATAGGATTTTTGTATATTTATACTTCCATAGATAGATAGATATTAATAGACTGAAATAGTGTTATGGTAAATTACCCGCGCACTCATGGAGTCTCCCAGCTATAAATAGGAGCAGGTACTGCCTTTTGGAGAGGGAAGTTTCCAGCAGTTAGCTCTGACAGTCGGACCGAACATTCTTATTGTAACACACTCGTTTTTATATGTTTGTATTACTGTTTCTATTAATATATTTGTTTAACTCAAGGCCACATAGATAGAAAGAAAAATATGCGTACAATCAGTATCAAGCGTGACATGTACAGGTGTGTTCATAAGGGTCTCCCCGCCAAATTCGCGTGCTTAGTAATTTGATCGTGTTTTGAATAGTGGGCTAGGCCCAAACCTTAGATCTTATCCCCGACTCTTTATCTGGCTCGAATCTAACTGGTACCATCCAGTTTTACGTGTCAGTCCTGTCTGAATTTCTTTGCATCTTTCAATCAACACTGGTTTATACGAACTTTCATCCGATTGCTACCAACCGATTTAAAAGAATGCTCCACTTACGTAGTTCCGAGTTTAAACTTCTATTACAAAATATTTGTTTTCTTTTCAGATCTATCAAAACTGTTGTGACCAAGTAAATGTTAAAGAAATAACAAAAACCAGGGTTGCAGATATATCATATATTAAACAGTAAGTACAGCAGAAAAGTATTACATGACTAGTGAGTCGGTGTCGGTTAACCAGCGTTCAATCTACGCGACTGTTCCCCAAGGCCTTCTCTCTCTTATTAATTTTATGGTAGGCGGAAGAGTCCAACATAGACTCTTTAGAGGGAGGACACCACAACAAAAACCTTCAAAAGAAATCATTTCCGATATTAAATCTCGATAAGTTAGTCGGTTTCACACGCGAGGAAAGTCGACGTTACTCTATAACCAACAACGGATGATTGTATGCATGCAATTCCAGGTACATTAGCATCAGTATCTTTTTACTTGTTCACTGATTTTCTTTCTCCAATGCAGCTCCGTTTTCATGTCTCCTATTTCTGTTTCAAAAGCAGACACCTCTTTAATTTTACTCATATTTTTTTTTTTACATTTTTATCTTTTGCGAGGATAAATAATTTAATTTTGTTTTTCTACATTTTCTATGATTACAAGCATACTTCAAGAAAAGGAATATAAAATTATCTCATTTTATGATCATTTCACCTTACGAATTAAGATTTACTCGCAAGGATTTTCAAACCGATCAAGGCAGTATTTTATTTTATCTTATTACCTTGATCGGTTTGAAAATCTTTCCGAGTAAATCATAATTCGTAAGGTGAAATGATCATAACATGAGGTAATGTTATATTCCTTTTATATGCAATTTATATGCTCTGTTAGAATAAATACATTGAGCTCTCTTTCTGGATCAATTTTAATATTTTATATTATTAGGATTCACTATGGGTTATATGGATAAAGGATTATCATCATATATATATATATATATATATATATATATATATATATATATATATATATATATATATATATGATGAAACTGTCACTCACAGGCGAGTGTTTATTTTATGTCCACACTGTTTATATCTACAGAAGCTCTCGGTTATACGGGGCCCATTTCTATCACAAATATAGAAAAGTTCAAACAATACATAGACATGCGGAGATACATAGATAGATATATAGATAGATAGATAATGAAAAAATAGGACATATACATATATAATTAACACTGATATAGATGGAGGAAGAGGAAGATGATTGACACATAGATAGATAGATAGATAGATAGATAGATAGATAGATAGATAGATATAAAGAGATTGAAAAGCGTGTAAGAGAGATATAAAGAGAATGAGATAGATAAAGAGACAGGAAAAATAAACTGCAACAACAGATAGATAGATAAATAGATAGATAGATAGATAGATAGATATAAAGAGATTGGGATAACGATAAAGAGAGATAAAATGAATGAGATAGATAACGAGAAAAAACACAGAAATAAAGAATCTCTAACAGATATATATATACACACACGCACACACAAACACACACACACACACATATATATATATATATATATATATATATATATATATATAAACTTCTATCGAACATTTTTTTAATTTATTTTTAAAGCAAAAGATTACTTATTTAGCAATTGTTCCATCCCAGTAAGACACTACCGAATGTTAAAGCACTGTTTCGAATGAGGAACGGTCCATTCTCATGAATTTTACATCATCTCCATAAGAGGGTCGCTTATGCCAATGTGGAAGCAGGCAAGTCGGTTTGCTGCTGTTGTTCATCTGCCAGTTTGATAAGACGCAACTAAAGAAGAGCGACAGGAGTGGGTAATCTGTGAGTGGGATCATCCGACACAGTTCACTTCAGATTTGCAAGAGCGGTTCCATGACATTTTCCCTCCACTAGAAGTTGATCTGCCGCAGTGTACCTTAATAAACAATAGTGGTGAATGGCCGAGATAAGTGGTTCTCGGAGAAAAGATTTCCATGATGAAATTCCTCTTGGATTATCTTCGAGATTACATTCTATGGAATAGAATGTATCAGTGCCATTTAAGAAGATATATTTTTTTATTTTTACACACACACATACACACACACGCATATACATATATATATATATATATATATATATATATATATATATATATATATATATATATATTATATATATATATATGATATGTGAAGGTATGTGATCATGGAGGGATATATATATATATATATATATATATATATATATATATATATATATATATATATATATATTATGCAGAAGACAAAACAATATTCGAAAGATTCGTCATTAAAAGATTGATTTTAGATTTATAGGTCGAATCAAGATTTTTCATACATCCCTGTATCCACATGCATACACTCACATTACTATATATATATATATATATATATATATATATATATATATATATATATTGTTATGCAGAAGACAAAAACAATATTCAAAAAGACAAATATTCATATATATATATATATATTATATATATATATATATATATATATATATATATGTGTGTGTGTGTGTGTGTGTGTAGTTATGCATTTGTGTGCGTATGTGTCAATTCTGATCAAAATTAATCAAATACCTATGTGTGAGGCTACGGTCTTACTGATATATATATATTATGAAATGGACATGTCCGACAATTATTTTTAAGACAATGTTTATGTTAATACATTCTTTTTATAAATACAAATATTTAAGTAAATGCTCTGTTTATAATAAACAGTATTAACAACATTTACCGGCCTGAAAACATGCGTCCTCCGACAGGAATCGAACCTATATCCTATCCGGAACCGTCATATCGCCTGACGGGTCTTTAACCGATTTGGCCACAGAAGAGCGTTCGGTTAGCAAGGTCGATTTTACTGTCTTTAAACTACAATCTTCCACCATTGTCGTAAAATATATTTATTCACGAAAGAATATAATTTTAACGAATTACCATTTTTAGAAATACTCATTAGAAATAAAAACAACCACATAATCACAGATATCTACCACAAACCCACAGACATCCAACAATACCTTCATTTCAAGAGCCATCACCCAAAAAGCTGCCTAAAATCCATCCCCTATTCTCTATTACGTAGGTTTTGTACTATAGTGACGGATAAACACCTCCGAAAAACCCTCCTAGAAGATCTACATAAAACTCTAAAAAGACGTGTCTACCCCACAACACTAATAAACAAATGTTTTGAACTCGCAAAAAACATTCCTCTAGACCAACTTAGAAATAAAAAGAAACGTAACGTCGAACCAAATCTATCATATGTCTCAACATACAACAAAAACAACCCAGAACTATTCACAGAAATTATTAAAAATCTAGACCTACTTAGCAAGAATAATAAACCGAAAAATATGCTAAAAACAACCAAAATAATTAAAAGCAAACGCCAATCTAAAGACCTAAAGCACATATTAACCTCATCTAAATTTAACCAACACACAATACAGAGAGTCACAAAATGCAACAAAAAAAGATTTGGGATTTGTGACATCATTATAGAAGGAAACTACACTTTTGAAAACCCCAAAACTACATTCATAATAAATGAAAACTTAAACTGCAACTCCAAAAATGTGATTTATGTACTTAAATGCACAAAATGCAAGAAGTCATATATAGATATCAACCAACAACTGAACAACAGGGTCTCCCTGCACAAAAGAAACATAAAATTACCAGACAACAGAAAACCTTTTGTATCACAACACATCTTCAAATGAAACCAGGGTAAATTTAATGTTATGCCAACATATCAAACAGACAATTATTCTTACCTACATATACAAGAAAAAACTTCATAGACAAATTTAAGCCAGAACTAAATAGATCATAAACCCACACGCAAAAACACACAACAAGCACACATGATGACCAAATACAGTGTTCAAACCATTCATATACATGCACGCACGCTCACATGCTGGTATCTGTGGAGCACGAAAATATATATATACACATGTTGACAGAAGCAAGGAACTACTCAGGGGCACTCACACAAACCCACACAACTTAGGAAGTACGTCAGTATGTATGTACGTATATACGTATATATGTGCGTATGTGTGTGTATGTGTATACTGGTTCCATGTAACTTAAGAAGTATGTGTGTGCACGTATATGTGTATGTATGTGTGTGTATATGAACTGATTTCTTGTAGTGGGACGGCTTGTGTGGGGGGGTATATTGTGTATGCGTACAAATATGTTTACTAATTCCTCGTAGTGAGACAGTGTGTATGTGGAGAAAAATATACACATATATACACGCATGCTGACAGAAACACACGAAAATGGAAATCGATCTAAGAACACACAGGGGTCATTGAAACATTAAAAGATAAGATACCGATAAGTAATTCATCATTTCTCTCGGAGCAATCTCAATTGTTTTATGAACCTTCGCGCAGAACTCTTCACTGCCAGTTCAAGAAAGACATTCAGATTACTAACACAAAAAAGAGAATGTGTCATATCGAGAATATTTAACATCGAAAAACGTAAAGGAGAAAAAAATAATTATTTTTAATAATATATGGAAATCTCCACCCTTTACATGATGACGATCGCGAGACCAGAAACCCGTGTAGCAAAATTATGGAAAATAAAGCATAATATTTATTTTTTTAAAAAATCCACATTACAACCAAAAAACGTTTGCGGTTTCTCTCTTTTTAATATACACACTTTTCTCTCGTTGGAACTACTATAAACTCTTCCTTATATATATATATATATATATATATATATATATATATATATATATATATATATATATATTGAATCTGTAGGTCTGATGAATTGGATCGTATTTATGATTACAATGGAATAAATTATGATCATGGAATATTAGTGATTTAGCCTTTTTATTATATCTTTACTCTGTCCTGGACACTGAGTTCTACCTGGATTCTATCCTCTTGGAATTTTTATTCAAAAAATATATATATGTGTATGCATGTATGTATGTATATTTATATATTCTGCATATATTCTGCATATGCACTAATAGTATATATATATATATATATATATATATATATATATATGCTTGTGTGTATCCGTGTGTTTGTGTATTATAATGAATCTTCAAAAAGTGAGAGAAAGAAAATTATGTAATCTTACACCTATAAATACATACTCACGCATACATACACACACAGATATACTCATATATGTTCTGGCGTCAGCAAGTACGCAACCTAACATATATGTCTTGTGTGATTTTGGAGAAAAGATGATGTTTCAACACTGCAATACATAATATATTTCATCTACGTGGCTGACATACAACACTGAATGCAATTCATTAACAAAGAAGGAATGTTTTTTGAAAAATAATTGTTGACAACATCATTAGACTTCAAACATTGCCTATATATGTATTGTCAATATGTCTAAAGCCTAATGTTAAAAATTATATATATATAGATAGATAGATAGATAGATCTATATATATATGTATGTGTGTGTGTGTGTGTGTGTGTGTGTGTTGTGTGTGCATGCGCACTGTCAGTCATCGGCGTGTTTATTCACTGAGTAAGTACGTAAAAATTCGCCTTTCTTTCAACCGTGCGCCAATGACTTAGAGGGAAAATCTCCGACTGTTGCCGACTCCGGCTTGAAGTAATCGGATGTCTAGCCATACTGATGAGGTGTGATACAGCGAATCAGTCTCTCTGTGGAGAAATTTATTATTTAAAGTCATATAATGAGATAGTGGTTCGGATTTTGAAAACGGAGAGCCCAGTTCGAATTTCAGTAGAGTTCGTTACATTGACTTCCGTGCAAATAACCTTGAGACATGTATAAATACATATCCTCTCCTCCCACCGCAGCCATAGGTAAATAGCAGGACAGACTGATAAACCTGTCTAAGAGAACCTGATGTGAGTCGCTTGTAGAACTTATGACACACCAGTTCTCTGTATTTTGTCCCCTCGGAAATGAGTCGTTGGTTCTACAAAAGCCTTCATCACTGTAGTCAAATTGTACATGGTTACATCTGAAATTAAAGGTAATTTTAAAATTATGCGATAAGAACAACAGTAAATTGCTGACGCTCGTCACCACAGAATAACAGGTTGCTCGCCGCGGAAGTATTTCATCGCTCAGTCGAATTACAACGAGGTTAGATGCATGGAATCGCCACTCAGCGATTGCAACATCGAGGAACAACGCGCTGTAGTACGTTTCCTGTGAGTAGAGGGAATTAAACCTCTAGAAATCCATTGCCAGATTATGAAGTGTGCAGTATAGAGCACCCGCCATGCATCGTGAAGAACTAGTGTAACGGAGAAAAGCCGATCTGGGCGCCCGTTAACATCGTGCAAGTCAGAACACATCCAGAGCGGGAGTACCTTGAACAGGGAAGACTGACGAATCATATCACCCCAAGTGGTGGCAATCGTGGGCATCAGCTATGGGTCTGCGCAAATCCTAGTGCATGAGGTTATCGTAAAGTTTGTGCGCGTTGGGTTCCCAAACATACAAACGCTGTAGACGTAGCTTCTTGAGCAATCGAAAAACATTATTTTTGGAATGGATGAGGAAGCTCGTTGAACAATACCAGAAGTGCAGAAAAATATATTGGGGTGATATTTTGAAAATTGATATATGCATTTGTTCTTCATCGGCGGGAATAAAGATGTATGGAAATTGTCTTTACGTATAGATTTACCTTCGTATGTGCGTGTAGTCCGGCTGTTCGCTTCTAAGAACTAAGCTGATGTTTGCCCGTATGTCGAAAACGACAACATAGACCGGGTGTAACAGCAAAATTGTCCAAATCCTACATATGAAAACATCTGCTTT